GTAGAGGCAGGAGGATCTCCATGAGTTTGAGGCCAACCTGGTCTACAGAGCGAGTTTCAGGACAGGCTCCAAAGTTACACAGAGAAACCCTTTCTCAAAATACACAAAAAAACAAAAACAAACAAAACAAAAATAAGCAAACAAAAAAATAATTCCATACAGCATTTACTTATTGCTTTCTCCTTTATTTTATCTTGTCTTGAGGCAAGTTCTCAGTTTGGAGTCTAGATTGTCCTGGAACTCATCATGTAGACAGCCTGGCCTCCAACTTGTAGCCATCCTCCTGTCTTAGCTTCCAGTGTGCTGGGATTGATTACAGTGTGTCAGTGTGTATCCCATCCAGCATAATACTGGGCTGTAGGGGCCATATAGGTGTTCATCTATGTGCAACACACAGCCTTCCTTGTGCTCACAAACCTCACAAACACCACCAGAAGCCATGCTCATTTTTTTTGTTTTGTTTTGTTTTTTGTTTTCTGAGACAGGGTTTCTCTGTATAGCTCTGTCTTGGATCTCACTCTGTAGACTAGAACTCCCAGAGATCCACCTGCCTCTGCCTCTGCCTCTGCCTCCCGGGTGCTGGAATTAAAGGTGGATGACACCATTGCCCCGCAGGACCCCTATTTTTGCAGATGGGAAAGCACGGAGGAGCAGCTTTGCCCAAGGTTGCACAGAAGGAGGGATGTGACCAGAGCTGGGGAGTCTGTCTGTCTCCCAGAAGCTGTGCTTTCAGCTTTCCATTATTCTGTGGTCCTGCCCACCTCAGAGCAGAAGTGCTACAGACAGGGCTGGGTGAAGAGGTAGCCAGACAGGATGTAGGCAGTGGGTGATGGCTGCCATAGGTTCCCAGAGGCTGTGCCATAGGTTCCCAGAGTCTCCCTGTCTGTATGGGGATAGGAACAGCTCCCTCTGTGGAATAGAGTTTGTTGGGAGGTTCTTTGTGTACTCAGGATACCATCTGCCCCCATTTCACTGTGGTGTAAACAGGTCCATGATCCCTCTGTTTCCTTCTGGAATGCTCCTGGGGAGACCTTGCTCTCTGGGAATTTCTGCCATTTCCCTGCAGAGCTGGAACTGGCTTTGAAGTCAGCCTTGCTCTTCAGAGAGAGAGAGGGAGAGAGAGTTTTCAGGGACAGAGGCTGGGATGTTGGAAATTCAAATGAGCCGCACGAACACCTTTTATTTTTGTTCGGAACATCTGAGTCTCCCCGTGGGGACTCCTCTGCCCAGGGCAGTCCCTCCCTTTGTGCAAGAGGGGATGTGAGAACCCCTGGGAGCAGGCTGAAGCAAGGTTGTCACCCTCTCACCCACCCTGGGCCTTCACCCACCTGAAATAGCAAGAGCCAGGCTGTCAGCCCTATGGAGGGGTAGTCTGGGGGAAGCCTTTGAACCGGGAGAAACCGGTAGCTCAGGCCGGTGGCAGCAGGTGGCCCTGGCTTTTCTTTGCCTCCAGGAAGGCTAATATCACCAGCTCAGGTCTGCAGCACCAGGGCCTGGAAAGTGAGGCCAGGGCTTAGTTCATAGCCTGTCCTGCAACACTGGGTAGCTCATCTCCTCGCTGGAGTTCTGTTGTTTCTTCCAAAAGCCCCATCATCTGCAGCAGGGTTACTTACGATTCCTTCCTTCTGGGACCTTCTTAGACTCATGCCCTCGAAGACTTGGTTGGGGTCTTGTCGCGGCACTGCCCTTCACCCCACCTTGGATTGGGGTTCAGGCCTGGCCAGTCTGTGACCCGGGCTGAGAACTTTAAGAACAGCAAGAATATTTGGCCTGTGAAGGTTGTGGCTTTCCTACAGCTCCCTCCCGGGGGAGCTGCTGTATGGACAGGCGAGACTGTGAGCACACAGACAGACCCTTGGCGCCTTCGTGGCCAGGGACAGGTAGATGGCTAACCCTTAGGGCATCCCAGACATGGACCTATACATTTGGAGCAGAGGCTACTGTACTGCCTGCTAACTCTCGAGCTCCAGGGTAGGGAGAGAATTAGGGTCCTGGGTCTATAGCCAGGGAAACATTTGGAAGTACAGAGCCAGTATTGGCTGGTAAGGATGCATGTCGCCATTTTGACAGTCTGTGTGACTATGTGAAGACCTGGTGTTCGCCAGCGTGCTCACAGAAAGGGCAGGTTAGAGAAAGCTGCTGGGGTCCTGGGAACTGATTTCTAGTCTTCAGAAAAATGCCTTTTTGTAGAATGGGGGAGATAGGTGCTGATCTTACTTGGCCCAGTCCCCTGCTCTCCTGCCTGGTCTGGGGTGGTGGGGACAGGGAATGGCTTTCTCACCTGGGCTGGGGTACAATAAAAAGATACTTCCCTCACTCTTTCCCGCATGGAACCCTTGACTTTGCGGCTCACCTAGGGAAGGAGGTTGCTTGGCAGCTGCCAACCACAGGCCAGGTGGCCTTAGCCCCCAGATCCTCATTGCCTCTTTGTTTAGTCTCCCCCCTTCCCCGCCCCGCAGCATGTAAACCTCTCCCCTCCCCCAGCCTCTGCCAGATACCTCATCCACTAAGCAAGGGCTTTCTTGTCTTCATCCTTCCTGGCCCTCAGAAAACCTTGAGATGGAATTAGAAGGTTGAGGTGCAGTAAGAACAGGTAGTGTTCTTACTGGTGAGGGAGACCCTGAATTCTTGGTACGGGGGGGGGGGGGGGGGGGGGGGCTGCTCTGCCAGCTGCCCCGACTTCCCTGTGCAGCTATTTCCGTTTCTATTTTGAACAGTTTGGGTTGGTTGCTTCCCTGCCTTCCTGCTGGGTGTTTATAGTGAGGAAAATAATTGGTAATATTTGCACAGATGTGCTGGTACTGCAGCTCATCCCAGGCACCTTTACCCAGGGGACTGCCCCAGCCCCCCTCCCCACCCCCAGTCTCTCTGCCAGCCAGAGGAACCAGCCTGAAGGGGAGGAACCAACAGCCCTGGGCCTCAGGCAGGAGGCACAGGCAGAGCCAGGAAGCAGGAGGACTAAAATGCCCCAGGCATGCCAGAGGCAGACCTCATCCAGAACAGGGGATGTGGTACCTATGCTCCAAGGACTTGAGGACAAGGGCAGGTTCCACAGAACAGGCCCTTCCTAGCAGGGGGTGTGGGAAGCTCCCAGGGCCCTGCCTCTCTTCCCATTATCTTTGGTAGAGCCTAAATTTGTATCTCAGGGTAGGGATGGGAGGGAAAAGGATGGGGAAAAGGATGTGTGTGTTGGGGGAGACCACAGACTAGGGTTGAAAATACTAAAACCGGATAAGAGTGCTATGTGCCTATATGAGGCAGCTTGAGAGACATATTGAGACTCTGTCTTTAGGGAGAAGGGAAGAGAGAAAGGAAAGAAGGGAGGGAGGGTGGGAGAAAGGGAGGGAGGACCCAGGAAGTCATGTGGTTCCTTTTCCTTCTTCTCAAGGCCTAGAACAGCAGACTGGAAGACTGGGAAGGAAGTGAGTGTTGTCTGGGCTGTGGAGCAGACAGCCTAGTTAGGCTTGGGGCCTTGTGCCAGCCTGGAGAAGGAACGATGCCTCAGGGTGGGCGGATATGGATGAGAGTTTTCAGGCCTCCATCCCTGCCTCTTGAGGGTTCACGTGAGACATGCAGACATGTTGCACGACGGGACCTATGTGGAGGTGCGTGTCTATGCAAATATGTGCACATATGGTGCACATACATATGTATGTGAATGTGGTGTGTGTGTCTGGGTTTGGGTTCCCTCAAAGCTAACATTGAGAAACATCCAATGAGAGCCATTTCAGGCGATACAGTAGAGCAACGGAAAGGAGAGGGAGGAAGGTAGCCACGGAGAGCCAAGCTACCAATGAATTGCTGCAATGAAAAGCAGAAGAAGTCCTACTGGGGACCGCTGGGAACTGGCGGACAATATGCCTCATCTCCCATCCAAGGGACAAGACATCAAAGCTACGTATCCACCATTCCCACCAGGCTCTGAGTGAAGCAGCATCACCTCCAGTACTCAGCTTGACTTGTCTCTGGTCATCTGTCATCAAGTGATAGACACAGAGAGGGCAGAGGGATTTGGGCGGGTGCTGGCACATCTGCTTAGTGTGGTGGGTATGATGATGTGACACCCCAGGGACCTTCAGATGGCCCACATAGGGGCTGGCCTCAGCTGAAGAAAGCCGGCTCATTCAAGGTCACATTTCTGGATGGCCTCCAACCAGTGACTGACAGAGGAGAGGGCAGCAAGGCCTGGCTCTTGGCACTCTCTTGTGTCAACCCTGGAGAGCCCCCTGGTTCTACCCTGGGTTGGTCTAGACTGTCCTTCTGGACTACACTGCAGCCTGGCCTCTCGCTATTCCCAGACCACCTGCCTTCCGCAAACACACCCTCCATGCTAATTTCTCTTCTAAGGTCTCTCGTTCATGCAGTACACGAGGCTGTGTGTACAGACACACAGAGCTGTGTCTTATATGTGGATATCCATAGGATGTGGGGCACGCATAAATACTTCCTCAGGGCCTTCTAGACACGGTGACTTTGATACCAGGCCAGCTCCTCTGCTAGGGGCCCAGGACTGAGAGGCTATTGGGAATTTGGTGCCGAGGCTAGAACCTGAGGCATGGATAACTTCCTTTCCACATTTCTCAGCAGTAGCTCTGGGGACCGGAGATGTGGGGAGCCAAAAATGGATAGCAGGGGAACAGGACCATTGGCATGCTGTACCCTGTTTCTACCTCTGTAGCTCCAGGCAGCTGCGTAGCATGCAGTCACTCGGGTTCCCATCTCTCCCTTCCTCACCTCCAAGGCTCTTACACCTAGAAGAGCTTTTTCTGCAGACCTGCATCTTATCTTATCTTACCATGCCTTGCATCAATCAAATGCAATCCATCAACCTACAGCCCCGGTACTCCTGGCCGAGCAGTGTTAGGGTATCTTTGACCTCGGGCCTCTTTTCTCGAGGCCCACGTGGAGATTCAGAACAACAGACATGGGATGGTGCAGGTCAGCACTGGAGAAGCATGGGGTACAGGCACAGGACAGCCAGAGGCCCAGATGGCACCAGGTGTTATGGAAAAGTTTATTGTCAGGATAAATAGAGACAGTACGGGGGACGTTTCAACTGCCAGTGCAGGGAGTGGAGCGTGGGCAACACCTGAAGTGAGGGGTATGGGTAGGGCGTGGGACCAGAGCACAGAAACTGCCAGGTTCCCCAAATCGTGCACAATAGTCCTGCAGGCTGAATCCCAGCGGGCCTGCCTTCCCATTGGACTGGGTCCTTTGTTCTTGATATCGCTGAAACTGTCATTCCTTAGTGCCTTGGGGTGGAGGGGCTTGAAAGCAGTCCTGAGTGGCAGTTATCAGCGAAGGTGCTCAGGGGCCGTTGCCATCATTCAAAGATGGGGAAATATCATGGGTGGGAGAGAAAGGCTTGGCCTTCCTGCCTTTGATGGATAGTTTAGAAATGGCTGCAAAAAAATTATTCCAGACTGGATAGTCCAGGCCGAATCGGAACAGCCTGGGAACCTCCATGGGAGGCTCTAACACGCCCTTGTCCACCAGCATGGAGAGTTACATAGAAACAAATCTTAGGTGGATCCTGGTGGTCCTTGTAGACGTTGCTCAGGGGACGCCTCCTCCTGAGCACCGCTGACTGCTGCACAGCCCACATCCATGTGTGTCCCTCCTCTGTCTCCCCGTAAGCCTGAGTCTGGGACCTTGCACTCAGAATCTAGGGAGTAGCAATATCCTTTCCCAGTCTCCCTATATGGGGGGCACCAGCTCAGGGCCCTTTCAGCAGAGCCTAGAAGGGATGGCAGAGAGAAGAACTGGGGTACAGTGAGTGAGGGGGCTATGTGGTCCTGCAGGATTCCAGGCCTCCATCCTCTCTGGCACCACACTTGATTTTGTCTGGCACGGAAAAGCCCCAGCAACCTGCCCTGAGGACAGAGTTCTCCCATGCCATCTCCACCCCGGGAGACACTACAGGCTGTCTTCCGCACTAACAAGGGAGATATGTGGTGCCCAGAGACAGAAGGAGCAGGGAATGGCTGGGTGTCCATGTATTTCTTTCCTGGTTGGAGGATCCTGGGCATCATGGTGGGGGCCTGGGTAGCTGCTTAAGATGTACACAGGGGAGAGCCCTATGGGTTACAAAGACTGACCATACCCTTCGCTCCTTGCACATTCCTTTTGCTCCCTCGAGCCTCCTGCTCTTTCTCTGTGGGAAAGATGGCAAGTGGAGAACTGAGCTGCCTGTGGTACAGAGGCCCTGTGGGGAGTGGGCAGAGTAGGCTGGGCGGGGCCTGTTGGACAACCCTGCCTCTCCTGCTTCCCATCCACAACTGGCCTACTCTGGGACGGCACACAGTTCCAAGCCTTACACCTTCCTCTGGTAGGCCAGGAGAGCCAGGATGAGGGTCCTACTAACCACTAGCCATGGCCATTCTGGGACATGTAAGCAGCCAGAGCCACCACCACAGCCACATAGAGACCGGCTCCCACAGCGATGGAAAGTGTGGCCAGGAAGAGCGCCCGGCGGGAGGTGGTGCTGGCCAGGCGGAAGTCCCCTTTGGAGATGGCCTTGCTGGTCTAGGGAGAAAAAAGGCTGATATAAGGCAACATCCCCCACGTCCAACCAAACAGCCCAGTCCACCAGGCCCTTCCCATCCTGCGGGTGAGTGTCAAGTCCTCCAGCTGAGAGAGGTGGCCAGAGAGGCACCACCCAGACCCCTCTACACTTACCCCCTGGGAGAAGTAGAAGGCAGCAATGCCCAGAGGCCAGAAACAGCAGAGCATAGAGAAGAGGGTGAGCCCCAAGTGGTCCCTGGGAGGCAGGGTGACAAAGGTGTCTTCGCTTTCGCTCTCTGTTGAGGTTGCATCACTCTGCAAGAGAGCGGGGGGTTTGGTAGCAAAAGCCAGGGTCTTGCAAACCCCATCAGATCGATAAGAGTTGAAAGGCAGGGTTCTTTGGCCTGCCACTAGTCCCCGGGACCCCGTGGTGGAAGGAGATAACTGACTCCCACATCTATGCTGTGACCATACATACAGCAAATACATAGATAAATAAATAGGTAAATAAATAAATGATGTAGTTTTAAAAAAAAATGCAACAACCGAACAGGCAGTATCCAGTGGGCACGCACAGAGCAAACTTCTCTGCTGTTGAGAGTGAAGGCTGCTGTTTGTTTGTTTGTTTTGCTTTGCTTTGCTTTGCTTTTTGAGATTAAAGGCATGTACCACCACCGCCCAGCTTCGACAGCCTGTGCAGTGACCTGGGGAAGAGTACTTTAGGGATTATTTCTCACCACGGAAGAATACAAGTCTCTGAATCCAGAGATGTTTATCACGAGACAGAGCCCAGGGAAGACAGGAAGGTGAGAGGCCTTCTCAGTGCCCAAAGACCAAGCGATCAAGTTAACAAATGATGGAAGGGCTCACAGCGAAAGACCCTGTCACTTTATAAATCATCTTGTAAAACATATTAAATTGCACAGAGCGATATTGGAAAATCAGGCTATAGTACTTTGTGGGAGAAAGGCAGAGAGGAAGCTTGATCAGCCACCAAAATAAGATATTTTCAAGCGATTAATCGCTGCTGTTTGCAATGGTTGCTATTTATCACTTGGGTCGATAAATAGTTAACCCAAGCTTGTGCTTTCCCCTCTCCTCCTCCTTCTCCTCTTCCTCCTCCTCCTTCTGCTATAGAGTACCACGTCGTCCATGCTAGCCTTGAACTCATCAGCCAGAGCTGACCTTGAACTCCAGAACCTTCTGTCTGTACCTCCCAAGTGCTATGATACAAATGTGCTTTCTTTTTTGAGCCTGGTCTTACTGTGTGTGCAGGATGTCTTTGAACTCGAGATAGACCGTGTTGACACCAGATCCCTAATCTTCCTGCCTCTGCCTCCTGAGCACTGGAATGAAAGGCATGTGCCATCATGCCCAGCTTAGAATCTACATTTTATTTTATTTTATTTTATTTTGTCTTTTGAGACAGGGTTTCTTTGTGTAGCCTTGGAGTCTGTCTTTGAAACTCTCACTATAGACCAGGCTGACCTCTGCTTCCCGAGTGCTGGGATTAAAGGCGTGCACCACCAGCACCAACCAGCTACAATTTACAGTTTAAAAACTCTACTTACCTCTTCCTCCTGGCTATCCTCCTGGCCCTGCAGCTCCTCTTGGACCCCATAGGACACAGTGTGGATGGTGACATCCTCCTCCGTTTGACCAGGTTCTGAGCCCTGTTCTGTGGGCCCCAGTGGGGGCTCCCTGGCCTCGGTGAAGCTGGTCTCACAGCTGCCTGCTTTGGGCTCTTTGACCTTGTCCTTCCCCAGGAGGCAGCGAGGCCGATACCAAGCCTCCACAGCCAGCTGCAGGGACCCTGGGTCTAGGAGCTGGTGGGTGCGAGCAGGACCAGCACCTCCTAGGAGGTAGGAATAAAGCTTTTCTTGGCAGGACCAGCTGGACGGGGCCTCCGTGTAGGGGTAGGGACTGCGGAGGTGGGCGGGGTTTCTTGGCAGCAGTGGGTTCTGTAGTTCACTCAGTCTCTCCATGGTTCTGTCTGCCGTTGCCAGGGCGGGGAGTCTCGGTCCACCGCTCAGTCCTCACGGAGCCTGTCAGGGTAAGCAAGACAGGTAGTTATGGAGGCCAGGCCACTGGATACACGGCCTGGAGTGGTTAAACATGTGAATTTTGTGTTCTAAGTTGGCCCTCGCCCTGCTTTGTCATCTGTCACCTGTGGGACCTGGAGCTAGCTATTGCTCGGAGCCTCAGTTTCTCGGTCTGTGAAGTGGGGGTGGTAATGGCGTTCTTTTCAGGAAGTTGATCCACTCATTTTCTAACTTGGCCTATGATTAATCAGTACTCGCTATATGCCAGGCACTGTGCCGAGAGAGAGGGAAAAGTCAGGGGACATGTGTCTGCTCGTCTTCAGGAGTTTAATCCAGATGCAGAAGACAGCTAGAGAGCAGCGTGTCTCTCCTGGAGAAGCACAGGGCACGGCAGCACGTAGACTTGACTGCAGTGCACAGACCTGACAGGGAGGCAGGAAAGGTTTTGTTTTGAGACGTGAAGAAGCCAGTTTACAAGGTGGGGGGAAATGGTAACCCATAGCCTGAATCCAAACACCCTGCAAAGGCATGTTAAAAGCGTGGTTTTCAACCTGTAGGTTGTGACCCCCCTGGTCACGTATTGATATCTTGTGGATCAGATAGTTACAGAATGATTCATAGCAGTAGCAAAGTTATAGTTACGAAGTAAGAACAAAGTAACTTTACGTATAGTTACGAAGTAACACGAGGAACGGTATTAAAAGTCGCAGCATTAGGAAGGCTGTGTTATAGGCTTAGCAGTCCTCTGGTATATGGGAAGATGGTGGAAACCTTTAAGAGACAGAGGCTGGTGGGAGGCTTTAGGTCCCGGGGTGTGGCTTGAAGCAGATTGCTGGGATGCTGGTCTCTTGGGTCCACTCAGGCTCCTGACCTCTATAAGGGGAACAGCTCTCTCCACTGCAGGCTGTTTGCGAAGCTGGCAGCCTTGCCGCCTGTGCAAAGCATCAGGGCCTATAGACCTTAGGCTGAAGCCTCCGAAGAGTCAAAACAAGCCTTTATTCCTCCTAAACCAACTGGGCATCTTGCGGCAGCACCGCAGAGTTTATTTCACACCAAGGGAGGACTCTCTGCAAAGGTACTGTGGCTGGACAAAGGACGGCGGGGATGAAAGCCTGGGCAAGGGCTGGTATGACTCCAGGTGCAGTCAGAGGAGCCAGGGCCAAATGTGTAGTCCTGCTGAGGTCTAAGGGACCACAGACATCAGCATGAATGGTGCTCACATGCAGAGTGGACTGGACAGGGTCTAGTCTGTTCCATTTACAAAAGCAGTATAATGCCTTTTTTTTTAGCCAGGGCTCAGTAGCTTTGAAGTCTGGAGTCTGTCCTAGAACTTGCTCTGTAGACCAGGCTGGCCTTGAACTCACAGAGATCTGCCTGCCTCTGCCGCCCAAGTGCTGGGATTAAAGGCATATACCACCACTACCTGGCTTTCTTTTTTATATGAAAAAATTCAATACTTATTTATTTTGAGACAGAGTTTTTTTGTGTAGCCCTGACTGTTCTGGAACTGGCTCAGTAGACCAGGCTGGCCTTGAATTCAGGGATCTGCCTCTCTCTGCCCACCCCTCACCCTGAGTGCTGAATCAAAGACCTGAGCCACCATGCCCAGCTTTAAATATTTACTTTAAGATGAATATTTACTGTCTTTTATTTATATGTATGTACATGGGTGCACAAACATGCAAGTCCTGAGACCAGGCTGGCTCAAACTCACAAAGATCCGCCTGCCCATACCTCCTGAGTGCTGGGATTAAAGGCGTGCGCTACCACTGCCCGGCCACCATTTGTTTATTTTTAAGACTAGGTCTTGTTATGTTTCCCAGGCTAATTTCAAACTCACTATGTAATCCAGGCAGAGTGGTTTATGCCTATAAACTCAGCAAGCAGGTTTGAGGCCAGTCTAGGCTACACTGTGAAACCTTGTCTCAAAAGAAAGCCAAGCAACACTAAAGTCCACCCCCAAACAACCAAATAACTAGAAACTTACTATGTAGCTGAAACTGTCCTTAAAATATCCCTGCCTCCCTTTGTTTGTTATAGCCAGAACCTGGAAACAACCTAAATGCCCCTCAACCGAAGAGTCGATAAGAAAAATGTGGTACATTTACACGATGGAGTACTACACAGCAGAAAAAAATAACGACAGCTTGAATTTTGCAGGAAAATGGATGGATCTAGAAAACATTATTTTGAGTGAGGTAACTCAGACACAGAAAGACAATTATCACATGTACTCACTCATAGGTGGTTTTTAAACATAAAGCAAAGAAAGCCAGTCTACAAACCACCCCAGAGAATTTAGACAACAATGTGGACACTAAGAGAGACTTACATAGATCTAATGTACATAGGAAGTAGAAAGTAGAAAAAGACAAGATCTCCTGAGCAAATTGGGAGCATGGGGACCTTGCGGGAGGGTTGAGGGGGAGGGGAGAGGCAGGGAGGGGAGCAGAGAAAAATGTAGAGCTCAATAATATCAATTAAAAAAAAACACACTGTGGCAGAACCAGGAAAAAAAGCTCCCTGCCTCAAACCCCCACTTGCGGGGCATGCACAAACATTCCTGGCTTGCTGGTGGGTGGAGTTTACTGTGTCTTCAGGTAAACTGAGGATACTGGGAACTCACTGATGATATAGACCTGTGATTCCAGCTATTTGGCAGGCTGAGGCAGGAGGACTACAAAGTGCATGGTCTGCCTGAACTACCGAAATACTGGGAACTCTGTGGTAGAGCTGGAGGGAAGGGGACAGCTGATGTTACCAGGTCTTGATGGCAGATGGGACTAGGGGTTTATTCTTAAGTCAAGCAGGACTGTGCTCAGCTTGGCACAGGGGCTATGTTTACGACTACAGCTTTTGCTAGGGGAGGGTACTTTTACACCCTCCCTCTCCAATGTCATTTTAGGAAGTGTGCTTTAGGTTAATCTGCCCTCAAGGGAAACTGTGGAAAGTTCCTGAAAGACCTAAAGCACCTAAGGGTGCTGAGGCCTGCATCTGTGCACCCCAGCTGGAGGTACACTCACCCTCCAGGCACGGATTAGGGATGCACTGGAGGGCTGCCTTCCTGCCTTCAGCCAGCTGTCTACCCACTGCCTGGCAGGCTGGCTGAAGGAAGAAGAAAAACCACAGAGAGTGTCTCCAACAGATCCACACACTCTAGCAGAGAGGAACAGATATGGTGGGGGCAGCGGCCTCAGAGACTTCTGTGACTTGGTGTGACTTGTCCTGGATTTTAGTCTGCAGATTTGGGCCCCACCTTGACTTTGATAACTCCGGTGAACGTCATAACCCCAAATTTCACTATCCAATAAAGATCAGATGCTGCTGCTGGTGGCTCACACCTTGATCCTAGTTTTTGGGAGGCAGAGACAGGTGGCTCTTTGTGAGTTCAAGGCCAGCCTGGTTGATAGAGGGCTACACAGAGAAACTGTCATCAAAAACCAAAAACAAAAGCAGATGATAATCCTTGCCCACCCCATGAGAGTCCAAAGAAGTGGCTGAGGTGACAGGGTCCCATTGATGATACGTGAGTGGAGGCTGCTGTCCTTTTTAAAAATCTTTTTTGACTTATGTATGTGTATGATACATATATGCATGTACAACATATGCATGCCTGGTGCCCACAGGAACCAAAAGATTGTGTCAGATGCCCCAGAACTGGAGTTATGATGACTCTGAGTCACCGTGTGGATGATGGGTTCTCTGGAAGAACAGCAAGTGCTCTTAACCACTATGCCGTCTCTCTAGCCAAGGAAGCTGCAATCCTTATTTCTGGGTTGCAGAATTTGTCCTCACCCACTAGGGCCATTTCTGACCTCCCAGCCGCCACTCTGCTAAAGACAGGTGGGAAGTAAGTGTAGGGAGAGATTTCTGCTCCTAGGGCTGAGTTTGCGGGACCCCAGGCCCAGGCCCTGTCAAGCATTCTCAGTCAATGCCTGGGTAAGGGCCATTTCTACTTCTGCCCCCAAGGGACCTAGGTGGATTCTACAAAGCTAGTTCCGGAGTCACCTGAGATGGAACGGCTCCAGGAACAATGCCTGCATAGAGGACAGAGAGGAAGTACATGGAAGAGAAGGGCATCAGGATGGGAGCAGGGCACTGCGGGCATGTCCAAAGGATGCTCGGCTGCCCTGACTGACTCATCACTGGGGAGGACATGGGCTGATGCCCACGTGAGGACAAAGGAATGAGGAGAGGCTGCCACGGTGCTGAGCCCCTGAGTGTGGCTGCGTTGGACCTGAAGCTAGAGGAATGTCTAATAAAGAACCACAAAGTACAACAGACAGGGGCATGTGGTTCAGCGGGCCATCTCCTGTCACACAGAGAGCACATGCGAACTGGGCTGCAGGGCTGCCACGTGCCTGGGGGCCCTGCTTACACGTCACTCTGCTATGACTTCCGTGTGGCTGTCACTCAGCTGTGACAGAATCTTCCTAGTGGAGTGATGGGACATGGGGCTTGGGCTGGGAGACAGATTCAGATCGCAACACAGGGCCTCGTCCTTCCTCTCCGGGAGTTCATTCCTGGTCTACGGACCTCTTCTGGCCTTTCCGTTTTCCTGAGTTCACCCAGGAGGGGTTGCAGGAAGTGGCTGCAGAGGGCAATTGTGGTGCTAATATTTTGTGATTCTATAGCCCCCTGGAGCCTGGGGAGGGAGCCCCTCTTTGAACACCCTGTCAAAGTAGGGGACAGGTGAATATTCTCAGAGTTCAGTGAGGTAACCGGCATCATTCCCTGCCATTGCCCACTGGGCAGGTTGAGAGAGGCGAGGGAAAGGTAAGATCTGTTTTGGACAGTCAGGCAGGCAGCAGAGCCCTTGGTGTGGACTTCCCAGGTTCAGCTGTGCCTTATCCTTACCTATCTCTCTGGGAACCGAGGACGGAGCTCCCAGAGGACCCTCAGTTTCCCCTCTAGATGGTCTTAATGGATAGCCTGTGGGTCTAGGGCCTCCAGGGTGTCACAGCCAAAAGTCGGACTGCCACTATCCATGCAGCTGAAGGGCA